GGCCTTTGGGTTCAGATGAAAGCTCCATCTTCCCTCCTGGACTCACACGGCCACCTCAAGCTTCCCGAAACGCAGATTCTCCTCCAACCTCTTCTGTTTGTTCTGAATCACACAAACACTGCAAACATCTCCTCTCCAGGGATTTGTTTTAACTCATCAATACTACTGCGTGCAATAAATCACTTCTGTCACCGTGCACCTCCTCCTCCCCTCTGCTGGGCGTGTAACAAGGAGTTACTAGATAATGCTGAAATTAGAGAAATAACAGCTAAATTCATTAAGCAATAAAATTAATTCACAAAGGGTAATTGTACGAGCAGGAGACCGGTAATTCCTGTTCCCTCTGGTTTCGCAGAAACTCCGCCCTGCCGCAGCTCCAGGCAGGTGCTGCAGAGCCCCGCTCCAATGGGGCAGCGCGGGGAGGGCAGGCAGCGCAGAGCGCGCCTCCATTGCTGGGTCACTGCCCAGGTCAGCAGCCAGCCTGCCCTCGCCAAGCCTTGTGTCTGTGCAGGGTCTGTTCCATCAGCTTTGGGTTCTGGTGAGCTCTTAGTTTTCTGAGGAAACTGCTGAGGATCTGGTGAAGTTTTCTTGCGTTCTCAGGTCTCTGTTCCTTAAAGCACATCACGGTGGTGCTGTGAAGGAACCTGGCGGTTCCCAGCCTCCTGCTGAGCCTCCCCAGCTGCTGGCCTGCCCAGCATTCCGGGCATACCTCTCCTCTGTTGCCTCCGATGAAGTCATCATCTCCACTTCTCTTATTCCTGGCTTGTTCGGAGTGCCATGGCATGTGTGCTGCTGACAAGAACAGCTTCCTTTTGGTGAGTCGCAGGAGACGTTTTCTCATTGCTACCTCCTCAGTCAGGTTTGCACCTCCCTTTCTCTCTTGGAGTTGGAACGGCTTCATAGCAGAAAATCGACTTGCTGGGAAGCATCTGCTTGTTGGTTATTCATTCCAGCTGGGTCTCTTTGCTTTGTTTGTGCTGTCTCTTCCAACGGCTGATCCCTGGAATCGTGTGTCAGACAGCAGGAGAGGGGGAGCGCGTGAGGAGGGATGAGCGAGAAGCAGGAGGAGCTGATGTGTTTCATTCCCACTAAAAAGAGCGTAATCCCGACGATCTCCAGGACTAGCTGTGATTCACAAGAGCAGGTAACAAACGTGCAAACATCTCACTTGTTAGGTGAAAACTAACACTATTACCATTGTTGTGTCGCACTTAATGACTGCTGTGCAGCAGTGTCTGAGGAGGGAGGCGGTGATGCTGAGCGGGTGACCCACACTCGTGCCGTCCCACCACTGATAGCACAGCAGCCCCAGGGCTTGCTGCTCTGTAACCATTTCTCAGTGTGAAGAACAGGCATGGAAAAGTAGCGAGGATTAATTATTCTGTTAATTCAGATGCCTTGAATTAGTTATCAAGTGTGTTTACTGTGGTACAGAAACAGTTTCAGAAGTGTTCATAAGCCCTAGGACCTGAATTAATGCGTAATGTTTACACTGCGTGTCCTTCTGTTGGCAGTGAACTCAGTGGGATGCATTCCAACCCCGGCAGCTTATAAAAACTCCAAGCACAGTATGCACCAAAAAGCACTTTGGACCCGACTACGTATGATAACTTAGGGGAGATTTTGGGTTTTGTTAATTGCAAAGATGATTATCTTTGAAGATCTTATGCTGCAGTGTGGGAAACCCAAAACATCACAGCCTTCTGTAAATATTTGGAAAAGCAGGAAGCACTTTTGTTTGTTTCTTCTTGCTTGGGTTCCCCTTGCTTGCACAACACTGAGCCCCAGCCCAGTACAGCCACAGCACTGCAGGCCTGGGAGCTGTGGGACGTGGGCTGCAATGGGCACAGGGGAAGTAAAAGCAAATGTGATTAGCAGTGCTTGGTGTCAGTGTGTGAGCAAAGTGCCCAAAAGTGCCATTGGTAATGGGGAGGAACGTAGATGAGGAATCACTGCTAGAATAGCACAGTTCTCAGGCCAACCTATGAACCATTTCCAATCTAATACTGAGATTTCCAAGAGCTTCTAGACCAGAAAATATGCTTAGGTGGACCCGGCTGTCCAACAGCAATGAGACGTCTTACTGCTCAACTGTATTTATGCTGTCCTTTATTGGGGCAGTGCTGTGCGTGGTGGAAATGGCAGCACTGCATGGGCTGCTCGCCGTGCCCCCAGAACTGCTCCACACAGCCCCTCTGCTGCACTATCATCATCTCATGAGGACGGCTCCAGGGATTTCGGGTCTCTGTGTCATGAAGATTTTGGAGGCTTTCAGTTCATAACAAGTTGAGGACTTTGTATCAGCAAACAGCGTCCTGAGATAGCGCGTGGTAAATCCCCAGGTCAGATCAAATCTAGAGCAAATAAGCAGACAAATGAAGGTATAATCCTGGAATTTCAGTGAGCTGAGGCTAACGCAGAAATTCAGTGGGGTAGCGAGGATGTTGTCCACAAATAGCCAGCGCTCCTGGAAATGGCAGATGCTGAACCTGATCTCTGTAGCTGGCTCGCCTTCTGCACGAGTGCAAATCTGTCAGAAATCACAGAAAAGAAGGCTGGGAGCGCCTCAGAGCAGCACCTGCCAGCTCTGTGCCTGGGGAAGGAGCTCTGTGTGCTGAGCATGGCATCACCGGGAGAGCTCCGGCTCACTGAGGTTTGGGATGGGCTTACATGTACACAGATGGTCAATTCCAATGTATTACTATCTGTGTCAGGAGGAGACTTCTTCCAGTGGCTAACATAAATGTCTGCTCTAAATTAAGGCATTTCTTTGTCTGCTCCTGGTGGATACACAGCGGTTTGTTATCGCTGCCTCGCAGCACCCATTGCTGCTCCTCTGCTCTGCTCTCCGTGCATGGCAGCCTGGTTGGGATCTTTCCTCTCTCCCTGAAGAAAAGGGCTGCTCCAACCTGTACGTATCCTTACTTGTCACTGAGCAAAAACTGCTCTGCTGTGTATTTCTGCTAGTAAGGAGATACTAATTTACTTGCATGCTGCTTTTACTTCTCTTTAAATAAACAACTTCCCTTTGAAACAAACAACTCCCTCCTCTTTCTAGTTATTTCTGGTTTCTTATAAGGAGTTTTGTAATGTGTCTCCTCCAGTGATCCCCACGGTGCTTACATAAGGCTAGCATGGAACGGTGACTGTAAGCTTGAGAACAACAAGAGGCATTGCTGCTGACCCACCTCTGTGCTTTGCTCTGGGTCAGAGTTGTGCCAGCCAGCTCTGCTTTGGGCAGATCGTAATCACAGAGTAATGATTTAAGAGCACAGTTTGTGACTTCAGTGCAGTGACATTAGAGCCAGGTATTAATCAGCCCTGGGTCATAACACACTGTCCTTTCTTCTGAGGAGGTCTGACCTGTGTGGTTGGAGGAAGAAGCAGACCCAGAGGTTGCAGCAGCAGAAAGCTGTGCTGTGCTCCGACATCCCACTGCAGGGAAGGCAGTGCTGTGCAGAACAGCCCATCCTTGTCCCGTGCAGGAGGCCCAGCTCTGCCCTGCAGCTGCTTCTCACCTAATCCCATCATTCCTGTTTTCCAGCCATGCATATGAGAAATGCTTTATACAGTGTTTATTGGCCTGGTCATCAAGAAAATGCAAAGCAGCTTCTTTGGTCATCTTGTCATCTTCAACTCACTTCCAAAGTTCTGTGTTCCAGTTGTTCCCTTATGACAGCCCCTAAAAGGCCACTGTTCAAAGGGAGGCAGTGGGAGCCTGAATATGGAAAGAGGAGGTACCGAAGGATTGGTTGTTCCTTGAGATTCAAAGTGCAGCATTCTGCAGAGAAGGTAACGAAGTAAGCAGAGGGCTTGGCCAGGAGTTGTGAAAGCAGTGAGTTGGCTGACTTTGGCCGTCGGGCTCTCGTGGAGGTTGCAGGGTGACTGGTGAGGAAATACAGGTGGGATTGCCGAGCAAAGAAGATGACACTGAGCACTCGTCCAGTCTGCCATAGGAATCTGCAGTCTGTCCCTTCGCAATAGTTAAGGGTACTTCTCAGGAACTGTTGAGTGGAATTGCAGCTATTGATTGTTTCTTACAGAACCTGGGTGACAGCAGACCTTGGCAAGGGGAAGGCCTTGCTAAGGACAGCCTTCCTTGCCAAGACCCGATTGCAGCGAATTGCAGATGGCAGAGGCTGAGAATTGGCAAACAAACGGCCTCTAAGTACTATTAATTATGAGAACATAATTGTCTGAGACAATCTGAAGGATAGGCTGTTCCGTCTTTAGATTTCTTTGCATATTGATTTGTGGAAGCCTCCCTTTAGCAGCTTCTGCCATCAGATCTCCCTGTGCAGCAGGTATTCTACAGGCTACTCGTTCCCAGGATCCACAGTCATGGTGTCATTCGTGGGCATTGTTGGGTGTGCAACTGTGTTAGAATGAGTTCCCCAAGTTTACATCAGCTCCTTTTTTTTATGGCCATTTTTATGCTCTGCAATTTTTTAAAAAAGGAACAGCTGTGGGAAAAATGTGCTCTTTGGTGTCATTCTGAAATAGCTGGTAATTTACTGTTGCATTTGCCTGGATTCCATATTGTTTAGTAAATAAGTTGGTGTTACAAATCCATACTGTCCTTCAAAAGTGGTGAAGAGGAAATCTCTGGAGGAATTAGAGAACCGAAACACCCTGTGCCTGTAACCCCATCAGCAGTTTCCCTTGGGAGGATGACGTCCACACGTACAAGCATCTGTACTTTGCATATAATTGTCACTCAGCTTGATGTGTTTTCTGTTTACTCATCTGCAGACAGGAAATAATCATAATGCCAACCCGCCAGGCGTCATCGGAAGGTTACACTTTTGTACAAAATGCTAATTGTTGGAGGTGAAAGTCTTGCTGATCGAACATTGTCCTGGGTGGCTGCCGGAAATGCGATTGTGGCGCCGGCTCATTTGCAAGGGCACCTCAAAGGAAGGAGCTGCATTTTGCACGGCCTGCTGCCGTTCCTGTGCTTACGTGTTGTAATTCTCCTTTGTCTCCTCTGCCATCCACAGAGTCCCCCCCCGAGAGGTGTGGGCAGAGGCGCAGCATGCCCAGCGGGGTCGCGGAGCGGAACCCCACCATGGAGCCTGCAGCCACAACGCCCTTCCGCGTCACGGTGAGTGCCTGCCTGCCACAAGGGAGGAGGATTCACTCATCCCGAGAGCCGAGGTGGTGGTACGCAGGGGACGGTTTGGTTACCTCTCATCAAGTGCACGTGGTTTTGTTGGATACTGTTAGCAGCAAGCGGCTGTAAAATATTTCTTTGTAAAGCAACAAGATTTGTATTAGAATCCAGAGTGGGTTTGGGTGAGTTGTTCCATTTGAAAGATTTTCCCAGTGAGGTTTCATTTGTGAATCCTTGGGTCGTGCACTGTATTCATAGACGTACTTCCTACTCTGAAACTGTACCTTACATCCTCATCCTTCTACAGAAGCTTCTATACAAAGAGCCTGCCAGGCTGATGGCTCCCCAGAAACTGTTATCCTCTCCTAGCAGGAACCAGGAGGAGCCATTCTGTGTTTTACATTTCTTCAATCGTTTTGTTTTGCAGTTCTCTGCTAACACTGCTGTTTTGTTGTGATAACAGTAGGTAAAGAATGGGAAGTCATTTGGGAGTGGGAAAGAGCAACACCACTAACATGAGTAACAGTGATACTAAACACAAACAGAACAAACCGGGTCTTTGAACTCCGTGGGGAAGGAACTGCTGCGTCCATTACAAATAAGGGAGCCGAAGACACAAAGAAGTCAGTTAGTGGCTGACCAACGGAGCTGTTGTTGCTGAGCCCCAGGTCTGAGATGTGCATACTGAGATGTGCAAGGAGGGAGTCCAACCACAGAGCCCTGCGCTCCCTGCCTGTCTGCACTGCTGTGAGATGGGCTGTGCAGGCTGGCTCACAGCTTTAGAGATTTTTAGGCCCCGTCATACTTCAGAGATCAGCTGTGGACTGAGTTAAAAGTCTTCTTTAGTCAGCATGTACACAGTGATGTTTATCAGTGCTCCCCCTCTAACATCCTGCAGGTATTACATAGACTTCTAGAATGGATCGCCTTAATTTTTGCAAGGATTATTTCTCTAATTGATAATATCAAATCCAAGTAATTATTTAATTTAGGAGTATGCTCAGAGGAGTACACTGAGGCACAGTGATGGGATCAAAACTCTTCCCAGAAAACAGGCAATGAAGTTGCAAGTGGCTGATTTGCTTTTAATGCATCATTGGCCCCAACACATCTGTAGTCAATGAAACGGCCCTTTGGGAGGCTGAAGTTTTGTAATCAGCTGAAGACACCAAGGTCTTCTGGGTAGCAGTTGGAGGTAAACTCCATTACAAGTAAGGGAAATGTATTTATCAATTTTTAAGAATAAGGACGAGCATCGTGCCTTACAGATGGATGTGCTCAGTATGAGTGATCGCCACGGCCGCAGGAGGTCATGGTTTTGAGAGGGAAACATCTGCTGTGTGTGGATAATGAGCCTGAGCACAGATATCTTCATTTAGAGAGAAGGCCAGTGGTCTTGGAGCTGGTGTGTCTGACGTGTGTTTGTATGTTTCCTCTGCAAGCCCCACCTACTTACAGGCTCAGCTGCTTCATAACAAACGGAGGTGGGTAAAACCAGAATTTCAAAGGAAAGTCAATGGTGCAATCTAAAAAAAACCTGAGCACACCCAGTTCACCTGAGAACATTGGTACTGGGAATGAGTCACTGCCAGTGGTTTGCCTAAGGAGTTTATTTTAGTTCTGCAAGTTGTGAGTTAGTGACTGCACAACATTCTCTCCAGTGTTTATATTCTGTAGGCACAGCATCCAAACGCATGTTGAATATGTAAGGAGGAGGGGTTTGGAGCTGACCTGTTTGCTAAATGAGATGGGAAGAAGTGCTGAAGGCAGTGAGTGGATGGCAGGAGCTGAGCTCTGGGTACACAGCAAATACTGAAGATAATGAAACAGAAAAACAATAAGAGATTTGCTGTAGGGGTGTGTTTGGTTTTCTTCTTTTTGAGCTGATGAAAGTTGTTCTCCCAGCACTTCCCAGTTCAAACAGGGCAAAACACAGGGAGCGTCCGTAGGTCTGGCTCCCCCTGTGGGACCACCTTCCTGCTAAACAAGGTGCATTGTGTTCCAGTGCCAGGAGAGAAACAAAGTTTTTTCCTCTAACCCCTTGTTTCACAAGCCATAATCTGTCTGAATTGATTGTCAGTTATAAATGTTCTGAACCTCTGAGCACAGCAAGCAGGAACACAGTGCAGCTAACTGAATAGGCATGCTTTTGCTTTGTGTCTTTTGTTCAACAGAGTCTGCCTCCATAAATGAGTATCTTTGAACCTTAAACACTGTACTGGTGGTGAAAGAGGCAAAGAAGGATGGCAAAATCTGGATTCTTCAAAAGACAGCGGACCTGGTAGCATTTTTCTTAGTGCATTTGTAGTCAGTGAAAATCAAATGCTGCTTATTTCTGTTCCAAGGACACGTCTCCTGCTTCATGTTTTTGGGGAAGCTATTCCCGTGGTTAAGCAGGTCAGCTCATGGTAGTGAGCCAGCCTGTATGGGATGTGGTTGCTCCCTCTGGCTGGCCTGTTATTCAGTATGGATTAAGTAAGGGCAATCATCAGATGGATAATACGTAGCATTTATCTCCTCTCAGTTACAATGCACTATCATCTCATTTCTGTTTCTGCTCAGCCCTCCGAATGTTATTGCCATTAATATGAATGGCTTCATTACATACATAGTTTTTATGGCTGCCCAGATCTCAGCATATGTCTGACTTAAGAAATATTCTCCCTCACCTTCCTTCATTAACCAGACAGGAACATTAGCAGTCAGTCCACTCCAGCCACTGGGAATAGTAATTAGCACTGTAGTTTAGTGGTAATGGGATTATTACTTTTGAGCCTTCTGCTGTAGGTTTTGATGTTGTAGGCTTTTCATATTTTATAGCTGATTGTTCTTCCCTGACATCTCCATCCTTCTGCGCTGGTCTCCAAGGGACTGCTAAGTTCAGGAGCCGTTGCATTCAGCTATTTTGATGGTGTTGCACTCCCAGTTGCTTTCTCTCATTTGAAAACTGCAAGCAGTATTGAAGCAATCTATAGCGGAGTCACTCTCTTCCCACTCTGAAGTTTGCCAGGCAAGTTATGGTTAATTGGGTGTTACATTTTTTTGAGGCAACTTTGGAAAACAACAGCTTATACTAGTTTTTCGAGTCCTAAAATATAACCTTGAAAATCAAGCCTTAAGTTTTTAACGTCTCAGTACGTGAACTGTTCTGTGTGATCTGTTCTTATTCCTTCCACATCGAGAATTTTTAATAGAGCTTATTAAACATTACAGGAACACCCTTAATCTTAGTCATCTCAAGTTGTAAAATAATTATATTCCATTTAAACCTATCTCACTGAACTCTGGTGCCATCAGAGCTTTGTGGGATCTGATGCAGTCTAATGAAGCCAAGTCTTTAATCCAAGCGACTCTCATCTGCGGCTGCCGATTCTGAAGCTGCTCTGAGCATTAGTTCAGAATTCAGTTTTGTTCTAAATCTGATTGGAAAACCAGGAATGTAATTCACCTCGACAGCTATACAGTGCTTTGTGTGGATTAGCTGGAACCTCTCTGGCTGCTGCAGCAGTGCCTGGGAACAGCAGATGTGGTGCGTGTCAGTACCAAACCCAAACGCAAGCAGGGATATTGTGGTCCTAATGAGAGGATTGGTTGTGTTCTACCTGCTGACACTGATGGAAGGGACTGACCCTGTCCACACACACATCTTAGCAGGAGACACTGAGAGTGAAGTGTCTCCTGGGACCCTCCCTGTTTGGCATGATTCTGCCCCTTGAGAGAGGAGGCCAAATAAATAAGGGCTCTGATAGAAGTCGGTATCTGAGGGCAGAAGGGCAGAAGGCATGGCTTAGCATGAGATGTCAGTTCAAATGCTGCCTTCTTGGTAGTGACCTGGAGCTGCTGCCCGGACAGGGGGTGTTTGGAAGCAGCTGATAATGCTCCAGAGCTGTGGGCAGCAGTGTGACCCAGGGCTCCTTCCAAGGGAGGAGGCTGAAGTCTTGCTGTTGAAGCCATTCACTTGTTACAAGAGCATGGAGAGGCACTTAGCTGCTCTGCATGGGATTCAAATAGCTTGATATTTGAAATGGATTAACTTGAAATCTGTGTTGTATTTTATCAAACGCAGCGACCAGGAGATGAGAAACTCCACTGGGTAATAAACCCTCCTACTCCGTGCGTCCCACAGGGAAGTGATGGGCAGGGGTGAGGTTGCTGAGACTTGCCATTGGAGTGCTGCCATCTATTGACTGCTTTTATTAGAGCCTGGATTACGGAGTTCGTGCATTTCCCAGGCCGAGCTGGAGCCCCAAGTGGCACAGCTTGTGCAAGAGGGGCAGACTCAGCGATTGAACCAGGGAACCAGGAGGATTTCTTGCTATTATTCTTGCTCACTGATTGTGCGAGGTGCTTCCCTCCTAACAGAATGGGTTAATATGACGTGCAGTCTGAATATTCTGAGTATTGTGAGCAGGAAGAAAATGCACTGTCTTTCTTACAGAGCTGTGTTTGATGAAGCACGTGTGCTCTTTCTTCCCCCCAAAACGCAGAGTATGGTTTAGAATTTTCTTCTCTCAGCCCTTTAATCCTCAAGTCCAGCATCAATCATCTCTTTCCATGATCTCAGAAAACGTGTCTGTGCTTCTTGGAGTTGAAGGCACATGGGCCACAAAACCCACAAAAGCCATCCATGGAATTGTGTAAATTGGATCAGAGAGGAGACATTTCTCGCAGAAGTTTCCAAGTGCAAACCTGGTGATGTGCACAAATGCCACCATTGTCACTGGAAGTTGTGAAGGTAACTGACAGCTCCCTGTTTTCTCACTGTCATTCATCTTCTTACTGTCTGCTGTTCTGCACTTTGGATGTGACGCCTTGGAGCAGGAGCTGCTCTCTGTGCTTCCCAGATGGGATGTGGGCCTGGATGCTGCTTTGCTGCAAATCATTGCAGAATGGCTTAGCTTGGAAGGGACCTTAAAGATCTCATCATTTCAAGCCCCGTGCCGGGCTGCTTGCCCCCAGCAGAGGAGGCACTAAGTGTGCCCAGCATGCAG